GATCATGATGAACTGGTGAATTAAATGGAACTTTTCTCACTGATGTTGAGTGGGAATGAGATTGAATTCTTGACATAGCAGCTTGAGCATACAACAGCAAGGCAGCTTGAGCAACGGTTCCCCGTGGAGTTAATTCCGATGCTCCTTTTCAGGCAGTGAAAGGATGTTTAAAGTAAAAACATTCTTTTTTGATACAAATAGATCTTTGGGAATTTTCTTTTATGCATCACTTGTTAGATGGTAGTGATGTGCTCAGCACTGTACAAACTCATAAAATAAATTCTCAGCTTTCTCTTGAAGGGATAACAACTTCAAAGATTGGGGGAATGCGAGATGCATTGGATTGGATGCATTGGAGGTAGTTAGCTTAGAAAAAGTTGTCTCTAATTCTAGATCTGTCTTCAGCTGTGCTACTGGTTACTGTTGTTAGAAGTAAGAGAGTTCTTCATAGGTGTTGGAAGCTATTCTCAAACGCAATAGCACAAACGAATCAAAACCTTTTATTTTCTAGTAGCTTGTACATATAAGGGCTGCAATGTGCTAGTCAATACATTTGGGTGTAATTTTTGATAGACATGGAAATTAGATGAAATCAGTACAGATAATAGGATTTTATTGTGAAATTTGAGACTTGAAATTTTTAGCCTTTATGTATAGTTTTTAGTAATAAGACAGGTTTAAAACAAACTGCGCTCCCTCAGAGCTGTTTCCTTCTACCTTCTGAGACCCTAAGAAGCTGTTTTACCATTCCTTAAAGATTAGGCTACAACATTCTGTATCTTGTCATTAAGGTGTGTTTGCTCTATGCATTAATTTGTAGTAAGGATTTTGACTTTGGAGGTGGTGTTGTCTTCAATGTCATAGAAATTGAGTTGCTAAAGCATCCTTGAAATACATAGTCTGCTTTTTTCCCCCTATATAATGTGTATATATAATATATTTTTATGTATAAAATACCTATCACATATATACATTTATGAAAGTGTTCATGTTCTTTGGATGATTATATCTGTAACTCTTCTCTTTGCACAGGTCTGAGAGCAGTGCCATTCTTCAGAGTCAGATGAATATCCTCTTCCCTTTTCTGTCTTGTGCACACTCCTTTCTTTGAGCTTGAGTTTAACTGTTGTTGTTGTGACACCCTTTCTTGCTTGATTCTTGTAGCCTTTCATACTACTTTGTCTGTGGTCTGACTCTCTTGTTGGTGCAGCAAATGTACCCTTTGTCTTCAATATGGGCGTTCAAAATTTTTCTGTTCCAACAGTATTTTTAGAGAGGAGAGTGGAAAACATGATCAGTTCTTCGTGGAAAACTTAAAGGCTTCAGTTTCTATTTACATTTTGAATCAGAACAAAATCAATATATTCAAGATTTCTTTTTTCATGTGGAAAATTAAAAAGGTGATCAGACTAGCCCCAGAAGACCACATCATTGCAGTTTTACTGTAGCTAAGCCAGTCTCATCTTTTTGCAAATAAAGAACTTCTTAAATGAAAAGTGTGTATAGCAGGTTATTTGTTTAGTATATGAGACTGAAATTCACGCCCTGGTTTTGTTTTACTTGATTGAATTATGAGATGAGTTTTTAGGTGAATGCATTCGGTGTGGACACAGGGCATTGGAGGCAAGTGGCAGGAACCAGGTTTGGTTATTATGTTTAGCTTAGGAACAGTACTGTGTTCATGCAATTGCCCAGGTTTGGTGAGATCAGAGAGGTCTTGTTGCTGTTTCCTCAGTACCAAGTAGGCAGATCTACATGGGATTTCCAGGGAGGTTCTGAGAATAACCGATGTTTATTGTGGAATGTGTCCTAAATTTTGACCAGCCACTCAGAAATTTCTTTTGCGTGCAGCTCTTACTAAAAGCAGGCAGCTTCAGAGCTGCTGGGAAGCCTGGTCGGTTGGAACCACAGCAATCTGTAATGGTTGCAAGGCACGTACGCAGGCCTAGCGCCTCATACTACGGGTGTCTCTTTGATCTTATTTTGTTATTACAGAAATACGGTTACGCTGTCGTTATACCTATTTTGTTTAAGTATTAATGCCATTTATTTTGGCGCCAGGGTTTTAGTTTGTTTTTTCAGTACGTTCTTTAGCCCAAGGAGAAGGGAGTAAAGCATGTGTGTCTTCTGATGGTCCTGCAGAAGAGACAGACACCCCCCTGTTCTATGCGCTTGTGAAACAGCTGTGCATGGAGTTCATAATTGTGTGATTAATCATGCTTAAACCAGACTTCTGATGCATGTTTTGTACATGGCATGGATGTATTTGCTTTGCAAGATGATGATGGGAAATCATGCTTCAAAAACATTCTTTGTTTGGTAACGGAGTATTTTTTTTTAAACGAGCTATTGGAATGCATCTGTACCCTTTATGTGGAAATGCATGCACTTGCGTCTAGAGACGGAGGCAGAAATGCGATGGACCTTGCCGGCACGCATGCCCTTATGCAGGAACGTGCAAGACAAAATAGGTTTGCGTTGTTTGCAGGTGCATTTTGAGAGGCTGATTATAGACTTGACACTTAATGTAATGCGCTGATTACCTTGGAGTCCAATCGTGCAAAGGTTTACAGCTGAGGCTTGTACTGACCGCTGTGAGGAATCCCACTGACTGTGATTTTGAAAGAACTCTCTGTGTAAGAGAGAAGTAAAATTTGGCATCGTGGCACAAACACTCCAGATGATCTCTAATGTAGTCTCCAAAAGCTGACAGAAGCTGCAAAAATGGCTTTGGCAAGTTTCTAAACTTCTGTCTAAGAGAGTTTTTTCTCTGTATTGATAGAAATTACATGCCTTAGTTTTGTCTCTTTCAAGGCTGTGATGGATAAATTTCAGAAATATGAAAAGGCTGGGGGAAGCCTGAAGCTATACAAGTTTTCCTTTTTCCTTCTTCAGCGTGTTGTAAAAACAGTGTAAATGTTTGAGATAATAAAGGAAGATATGCCAAGGAAAAATCTCTTGTTCTCTAGCTGTATACATTTAAGATGTAATCATTCTGGTGATGGAGTGTTATGACTCTGAAGGTAATATGTAGCATTCTGGTCTATTTAATCTTTGTGATGTCAATACTCAGCAATAACCCTAATTTTTAGCTTTTGTAATTTTTTTTTCAAAGGGTTAGACATGAAGAAACCCAGCTTTGGCATGAAAACGAACATAAACTTTTGAGATCTACTTACCAGGAGCGGATGCAGGTTTCGGCCACAAAGCGAAACCAACTTTTTCAAGAGGAGAAACGGTTACAGGTAACAGGACTGCAAAGTTGTCTGTAAGAACCAGTGCTCTATGGGGAAAAGCTCATAAGCTGTTGCACAGAATTAAATAAATTTATTGTTATATTGATTTTGCTTCTGTGCAGCAATTAGAGCCTTGGCTGTAGTCCAGTTAATAATCTAAGTGATGATTGGAGATGGCAGCCACAGGAGTTGTGTTAATCTCATTACAGAGAAGCAGAACTGAAAGGCTTGGTGGCTTGTGTGCGTGCTTTAGCTTTCCTCATTATGTTTTGAAGTGTGCTCTTTATGTTCTAATTTACCATTTTAATTTTTCACTGGTCTTCAGAAGTCTTCATTCGAAGGCAAAAAATTTTCATCCATTTCTGGTTAGAATTGACTATAAATACATGATTTACCATCTTTTGTTCCCGAAAGATGATTGATGCATTTCATAACGATGAAGGAATCATCATGGAGCAGTCAGCATTTGCCAACAATAACTTTACACTGACACGTGATGTCGCAACGTGGTAATTTGGCAAATGGAATGTTTTTAAGATGGCTTCTGTCCAATTTTAAATCTGCAAGCTTTTTAAGCAAAATTTAGCTCTTTCTTTTCACTGTCCTTCAAAAATCTCAGTTCACTGTCCTTCAAAAATCTCAGTTCACTGTCTACTACAAGTCTTTGCTCCACCTCCTTTTAAACCTTGGCGATCACACTCAGCAATGTGACATCTTAGAGAGCTAGTAGGTGTAGCGCTCTTTTTTTTTTTTTTTTCTGCAGTCTTGTCTTGAGATCTCATTATTTTTGATACTTTTTTCCTTTGGTGGATGAGATTGTATAATCATCTGTGTGTTTGTATATACATAAGTATATATATAAAACCCAGAAAGGGACAGAGAACAGCATCTTAGATGAGCATTGCAAAATCTTACTTAGATGAAGAAACGTCTTTTCTATCCTAGTCATCACCTTTATATTGTTTAGATTTATTTTGTGAATCTATAAGAGGAGACATAGTGTAGTTCAGTGTTATCAGTGTCCGGAAAACTATTTTTGATAATCTAGACATCCAGCCAGCCACCTCAAGATATTCAACTGAAAGCTGCTGTACTTAAGACTCCACACTGGCAAATGTTATTATACTTGCTCCAGGTAAATCTTTGTTCCTATGTAGTTATACTAGGGATGAATTGGCTACGTCGTTGTACAGGCACGCTATTTATAAGCATTTGATTTGGTTTGTGTTTTTTTTTTTTTTTTGGCCTCAGCCCTGCTTTACTTTACCTCTCTCCTGTTGGTTGTGCATTTGTCTTCAGGGATTTGAGAGCCTGTGACAATATCTAAAATTTACATATTAATGTTTCTACTGCAATCTGTACTTCATGGAGAACACTATCCCGTCAGCAAAGCTGGAGGTTTACGATGGGTACTGATTAGCTGTTGTGTTGGAAATCTCAGTTTAAACTCAAATCCACAAAGTAAAACTCCAGCTTATGTTTAGTGAGCTGAATATCACCTGCTACTCCATGCTGAGACTTTAAGTCCTTTTCATCTGTCCCTGGAGGCCAACCAAGAGCACATTAAAGGCTTCTTGGCATTTCTGGAAAAGAATGCGGGAGAATTCCAGTTTACTGACTAAAATTTCCATTCTCCCAAGAATGCCTGTGAACTATTCCCGAGCAGAACAGCTTTCTCCCTGTGAATGCAGATTGTGTGCTTCTGGTATCTATTTATGTTGTAAAAACATTTCAGTACTAAAAGTGTGTTTCCAAAACCAAATTCTGTTCATCTCCCTTTCCGTTCCCATGTAGGTTGCTTATTGCAGTGATTGCAATTACTACGTTTTTCACAGAATATGAAGGTCTTTGTATTAAGTAGGGCTTATTAAGATTTTGGCAGTATTCCCAAGCCAGTAACACAGACAGAATTGTCCTCTGTGCGCACTAAAAGCCTAATTTGAGACTGAAAGAAACAAAACTGATGTTTTTGGCCTGCTGACCTTTCTGTCCTTGACAAGTGCCTGTGGGTTGAACCATGGGCCACTCTGTTCTCTTGTCGCTAAATCTAAAACCAAAAAAGGAGGAAAATAATAGATGAATCTATTGCGCAGCACTAATATAAGTTGAAATTTTTGAGCCAACCAACCATTTAACATGCAAGGACTGTTTCTTCTTGTTTTAAGTGATACTCAGGGAGATTGTTGCAGTGCAGCAAACCTGGAAAGCATGTTTGTTGACAAAATGAGCATTAGTGAACTAAACTTCACTTAAATTACATCGAAACCTTAATATTCTTTTAATGTTTTTAAAGTGAAGCACTCGTAAAGCAAAGAAATGCCAGTCAGCTCTCTGTGCATAGTATGTCTGTTTTATGAGAGTCTATAATTATATGAGCATGCCTTCCCCCCACCTCCCCACCCCGGATCCCTGCCTCATACATTGCTGGAGATGGAAAGTGCTTGTTGAGATATTCAGAATACCATTTCATCTTCATTACTCGGTATTCGGCCCCAGAACCCTTTTACTGTATGCCACTCAAACCTTCCTTTGGATGCAGATTTATTAATTTGTGAATGGGCTCTTTTTACAGCATTAATCAACATGGCATCCGAGTGATTCAAAACCACTTAATTTTATCTCCATAACATCGCTTTGGGTGAAAACATATTCTTACTGCCATTTTACAGATAGAAAGTGAAGAAGTGAATTGCCATAAAAAGCTGTATGGTTGTTTCTAATGTCAATTTTGTAATGCCTGCTTATTTACCTGAAAAAGTTGCCTGTTGTTGTTGGTTTCTTGTGTGTTGTTTTTTTTTTTTTCTTTTTAGCTGGACTGAAATATGGTCAGAGCATGGAATTCTGAGCTTTGATTTCTGTTGAGAGTCTATAGATAGCACTTCAGAGACCCCTGTTGTTGGTTGTACGGAAAACGCTCAGCATTCAGTCTCTGGCTGTCTGTGAAGAATAACAGCCACTTAAAGTGGCTTGCAAAGTTTCACAGAGATTATAAGAAATGTAGGAATACAATCAAATTCTCCAGTATGGCATTCAGCTGCTTCAATAGCACTTAGTCCTCCTTTGATTATTTTTTTTTTATTTTTTATTTTTAAACTCACTTTTCAAATTCTGGGACAAATGAGCCAAGAGCCATACATTAAATAACTTTTACCTCAGCAACCTAGACTTCTTCACAAAGTGCTCCTTCCTTGGGTGCAAGCTATCTCTTGGGTTTTTGAAGAAGAATTAGAACACGCTCTTGCAAGAAACATCAGTATCGTATTGCACAGGGTTTGGACTTCTGGCAAGACAAGTGCAACTGTGGTTGAAGCTCTGGTCATTTTAAGTCAAGGGGGGAGGAATTTTACGCTTTAATTAAAATTAAATATTAATAATCAAAAGGACTAACCAGACAGTTGATGGTTGACCACTTGCATCCTGTGCCCAGTGTTGGATCGGAAGCCTAGAGGAACTATTGCAGGGTTGTTCTGCAGAAGGACAGATAGGTGGTTGATCACTGTAACTGCCAGTCTGTAGCACGATTCTGTTGTCATGGTTGAACTGAGATTTTTGGGGGTTTTGGGAAGTTTTTAACTTGGGAAATACCTGTGTATTTTAAAAGTAAAAGGTGATTGACGGTGTTATAAGAGGAACCTGAAATTTGGTATTGAAATGGAGGTGGGAAGTTTTGGACTCTTTCCACACTAGAGTTTCTACATACAACAAACAGGAGAATTTTGTGTGTCAACAAAAGAATGTCTTCTCATTTAATGTTGTGCTAAATTGGACAACCTTAATTCATGCTACTTCTGAGGCTTCTACTGCGTTTTTCTAGGGGCAGAGGGGTTTCTTTAACAGGATTCATAGTAAACTCAGGTTTCTGTTCTGTGCAGAGAGAAATTGAAGACCTCCGAGCAAGACTGACCATGTTAGAAGCAAAAGATCAACAGCTAAGAAGAGAAATTGAAGAACAAGATAGGCTTATTCAGTCACAGGACTGTGAACTGACTGCTTTACTTGGCTGTGTTTCTTTGAGAGCGCTACAGGAAATAAGCAAGGCTGTGGATGACACTTTAGCATCCTCCTATCAAATTCCATTCAGTCTGGATCTTCCAGGGACAATAAAGAGGTATTTAAATCCCAGTATGTTGTCAGTGATGTAGAGTCATATCTTCCCCAATGTACTGTTGAATTGGCTGTCAGTTGTTTTCTTTGTAATTGTGCCAACTCATTAGCTAGATTCAGACACTTAAAATTTTTTTAAAAGTGGATGTTGAAGTTTTAATATTAATATACTTCTTCAGGAAAGAAGACTTTGTAGTTATTTGAAAGTTTAAACTATTATCATCAGTTTAAACTATTTCTTGTTAACTGGTGGATTTCCACTCCCCCCCCCCAGCTTGGTAATGCAGTAATTACAACATATTTCTCATAACCTGAAAGTGTGTACTAGGCACCATCCAAATAAATTCTAGAGATGCTTCTTGCTTCAGTGAACTTCCAGTCATCATAAAGTCTGATGTGATGAGTGTTAGACAATGGACTTGAGGTAGTAGGGGAAGGGAGGCAGCATGAAAACTTTTGGGACGCCTACGGTTAAATGCACAGTGTATGGTTCCTTTAAATGGAAAAGAAGCTACTCTTGGTAACCTTTTGGAAATAACCTCATCTTTATTTACAAAAGCAATAGAAGTGCTTGGGGCCTAAACGTAACTGGCAGTCAATGGGACGTGAGTGATAGAACTTTGAAAGTGTTACTGCGGCTGTGTCACCAGGACAAAATAAAATTCCTGTTTATCCTAACTTGCATTTCTTCCAGATAAGCAATAACTATGTTGCTTGCAATTTTTTTCTCCCTTCATATTTATTGGATTTAGTTTGGTTATATTAACATTCATGAGAAATTGCTGCTCATGTGTGCTAATTTATACAGGTTTTTTTTAAAGTCAGCAGAATGTTTTGTAGAGGACATATTCCTCTCTTCTGAGGTTTGTTTAAAATTTTAAATTAGGTTATAGGAAGTAGTTTCTTGAATTAAGTTTAGTTTGTTTTAATAGTAACTTATACCTGTGTTTCTGAGATTGAGGAATAAAAGGTCTTAAGCAGTCTGTCTTAGAAGCTGTGCTTTGATTTGAGTTTTCTCTTAGTTTTGGATTTGCTTATTAAAGAATGTTCAGTGTTTTTTTTTTTTCTCTTTCACATTGCTGATGCAACATTTTGGTGGCACTTAACTCTGTGTGTGATTATTTAAAGATGAATTAAATTAGTACTGTTTCAGTAGGAACTTGCTTAGAGTTCTCTGCTCTCTAGCACCATGAATAACACAATCACTTGAGGGGAAAACAGACATTCATTATTTGAAGTGGGTTCAGAACTTTAATGAAGATTTAGAATTAATTTCATTCCTTTCTGTTAATTTTTAGAAGATGCCTTGAATGGAACTTTTCTATTTTAGTTTTGTTTGTTGATCAACTTCGTGTCACCAGGGCCGATGATCAGGTGCCTCTGCTCTCTTTACCATGGCTGGAGTTCCCCTGTTGCAAGTGGGGACAGACAAATGCTAGTTTGGGCTGCGCAAGTAAGCACATTTAGGCAGTCATCCATGACAGCCTTCAGGAACAGTTTAGATCTCCTATATCAGGTTGTAGTTGAGTATTCTTGTCAAAGCCCAAAGCCTTTTCTGACCAGAAGTAATGGCAATGATGTAGATGCCCACCTATGGCATGGTCAGGTGGAGGCTAAAGTCCTTGGTTCAGAACGTGGAAGCTCTGCATTTAGGTCCTCAGCAGCCTGACTGGATCCGAACCTACAACCTCAGTGCAAGCTCTTACCTGCCAAGGATTCCAGTGTCCTGGCAGGGAGTGTGCTCCATCACAGGAGCTGGGCCTTAATGTGTCCAGGAACACAAGAGCAGAAATCTGGCAACAGGCAAGAGGAGACCTGACTCTGGTAGGGCGAAAGTGGAGAGGATTAACGGTTATAGCACTCGGCTGAGATGCGAGAGAGACCTGGTGGTCATAGTTGTTGGGGGAGTTGGGAACCTTCCATCAATGAAGTGCTAGATCTACCCCTCCCGCTCCTTCTTCCCAACTTTGCTTTTAAGTGAGCCGGTAGGAACGTGTCACAGCCTGGGTGATGCAGCCTTTCAAAGAAGCAAGGTAGCACTAACTGTCTCTTCAGCAGCTTCTCTCCTCTCTGCAGGTGGTGGTGGCTGTCTCTCAATTAAAAATGTAGGTGTTTTCTCTACATGATGTGGCTTCTTGATCTGGTACATCCTATTCCAAATCTGCCCAAGTGTTGTGTATGTTGTGCCTGCTCCTACATTAAAAAAATGTGTAAGCTGTCTTGGGAGCACAGAGTGAAATCTTCAGTCCAGCTGTGTGACTCAACTGCTTGATTTTATCATGTGGCCCCTTCCTTGCCTTTGGTTCTCAAATCTCTTCCCGCAAACCACTTGCTCCTTTAGGTAGCTGAAAGCATCCCAAAGCTGTGCTTGTTTGATGGTCAGCAGACAAATTTCCAGCATGGGTTCTCTGCCACTTCTTGCTTTCAGGGCAGGCTATGTATCCAGAAGGGCTGAGGGGAAGAAAACACTTCTGCAACGGTTGCAGTTGTTTAACAGTGAGAGTTAGGCTCCCTGTTAAACTAAACAAAGCGATGAGTGTTTTCCTTTTAAAGCTGTGCAGTCCATCATACCTCAGGTACAGTGATCTTAAGCCTGCATTCAGTCATGTTCTGTTCTCTTGTTCTGTAAGATGAAAAAGCAGCAAGCAGTTAGTAAGAAATCTGGTGTGGATATACATCCTGCGTGCCTATGGGCATCCCCTATATTGTCATACAATTATAGAATAATTTAGGAGGTCATCTTGTTAAACTCCTGCCCAAAGTAGGACCATGATTTCCAGGTGAGATAAGGTGGCTCAGGACCCCATCTGAATTTTGCATGTCTCCAAGGATCGAGATTTTGCAGCCTTGCTAGGCATCCTACATTTCACCACCCTTGCTGTGAATGCTTTTTTTTTTGTCTCCTGTCTAGCCAGAATTTCCGTCATTGCAACTTGCATTGGCTTACTTCTTGTGAAAGGCAGTTGTATATTAGGTAGCAGGTTAAAATACTTAATGAAGCCAGTTCAGCATATTAGTTTTAAATTCCAAAGTCTTAATGTGGAAGAGATTTTTCTGCAGAAGTACATTTTATTTTATGAATCATTGCAGAGAAAAAAAAAAGAATAAAATTTAAAGCCTTCTAAAGTTAGGGCTATCTGTGTGAGAAATAAAGCTGTTACTCATGCACATATACTAAAGATCAGTGCTTACGTAGAAAGTCATTCAATATTGATGGGCTGTAAAGTACAATCTACCGGCTACGGGACTGCAGGATACTATGTATTTATAACAGCATTGTGCTAGTCCGTAAAGTACTGCTATAATGTGCTTTTGCATAATTATTTGTTGGGTCCATGAATTGCATTCAGCACTGGAATAACACAGGGCTGATGTGAAGCATCTCTTAAGACAATCTGTGCTGTAATGAATCGTATCGAGTGACTTGCAGCTCACTATAAAATAAAAATTATTTTGCTTTTCTTGGTCTAAATGCTATTAAATAGCAACTTATTAAAGCAAACTTCAGGGAACGTGAGAGAACATCTTAAATGAAGAATAATTACCCAGAGAGAAGTGTGCAGAAGCAAGAGAGCAAGTCAATGTAACATTGGGCTGAGCATTGTTTCTAAGCTTGTTTTTCTTGTCAAACATTGTTATTTTCAGGAAGATTAATAATCCTTTGTTTTGTCTTGTTTGTCTTGGTATGTGGTGGACTTTTTGAAAACAAAAAGTCTTTGTCAGGAACTATAGCATGCTTTGAGTTTGAAGAATTGAAAAGTGTTAGACTTGTTACCCTGGGCCCTTTCTTCCAGGCTGTTGGAAGCCAAGGTTAAAACCTGGTCGGTTAATGTGCAAACAAATAGGTTAACTTGTGTTTTGACAGGGATTCTCATCAAGGTTGAGACCACAGAACGTGGTGGTTTTGCTGATCCAGACAGGCCTAATTGCCCTCGATAAACTAAAGGGTGCAATCATTATAAAATGAGGAAATTGTAATGTAAAAGCTCAGTTTGCTTGTGTTTGAGGTGTGTTTAAAGGCTGGAAGCAGGTGGTGGTGTGGGCACCACGACGCATCGTAGTGTTTTAACTAAAAGTGACATACTGAAATCAGAGGAAAATAGGTCTGAGTGTTTCGGTGTGAAGTACTTCTCCTGGAGACTGCAAAAGGTAACAAAATACATCATTTCTGTATCCTCTACTGAAGAGGGCACCAATTTCAGAAAAAGATGTTTTTAACTAGTGTAACTTGAATCTTCTGATTATGAAATAAGACCATGTTAATTATTGGACTTATTCTCTTCGTTACCTGTTGTTTCCTTTTTTGTTTCTTTTTGTTTCACAGTGAAAGCTGGGGAAGTCTGTTACACTTCTATTTGTATTTACTTTCATTTAGCTTTTTCTCTTTTGGTTTTATCCATATCTACAGATGCATGTGACTGTACAGCGTGTCATCCTTAAAATAAATTGCACAGTTCCATCTGGATTATTGTCTGGGCACCGAATGCTGGTTGAAAGAAAGAAATTCAATTAAATATCTTTCAAAATATTTGAATACTCCGCCTATTCCTTCACCCTTCCCATGGAGCAATTTTTAATTAGTAGGAATTTGTTCCGCAGTGGGTGTGAGGGATCTTCTGAAGATAGGGAAATTCTCTATTCTGTATATTGGTTATTATAGTACTGTCATGGCCAGTGGCACGAGGAGCTGAACTTCAAGTTTTATGCAACCAGTTCACTCTGCTTTAGTGATGCCTGGAGCTCATCTGACAAAGATTAATTCAAAGTGAAATACAAATGCTCAGGGGGTTACAGACCTGATTAGTTGGAATATACTCAAAGCATTCAGCAACTTCAGTTGAGGCCATAGCCTGATAAAGGCAAAAAAACTTCTTCTTCAGAGGAGTTGGTTTACTTGGGAAAAGTTGGGGGGGGGAATACTTATACAGAGTTTCACATTATTAGCTTAGGAAAAGAATTGGCTGTCACGTGCTGTCATTAGGAGAGTGCTTTGTACATATTTTC